GCAAAGAACCTCCAAGCCGTTCTACAGATATGCGCAATTGCTGCAAAATGAAAAAATAAATATATTTGTCAAGATATATCTTTTAAGCAACATTTGCTTACTAATAAAGAGGGTTCCAAATCCTTCGAACACAAGCAAATGTTTGAATAATTCCATCCATAAGAGAAACATCGACATAGGTCGGAGAATAAATGAGGTTCTGGACGGTCTGGACACAGGATCATCATGCAACAGGAAATCAGTTGTAATAACGGTAATGACAGAAAACAAAGATTTTATGAATCCCATGTAGACCATAGGATATTCAATTATTCGCAACCTAAGACCGATGCCATTAAATATCAACACAACTGACATTCGGAACTCAATTAATGTAATAATTGATCCATAAATGACGCTTGCGATTGACAATTGCATATTTTTAGTGCCAATAATCGTTACAGCAAAAAGGATAGTATAAATTATTTGAGCCGAAACATAAAGAAAATAAAACTTCCGCGCAAAAGCATGCCACTTGAACTTAACAATGGCTCGAAAAGGTGGTGACCTATATATTTCTCTGTAGGATTCTTTAGAAGATAATAACTCACTGGGATTTAAAACTATGAGTTTGGCAAAGGGACTTAATTTACTTGGAAACAACAATGTAGTTAATTTTTGCATCCATTTGTCATTATCACTGTCTGGATAAGTACATAGACCAGGTAATGGTATATAGCATAGCGTCTTGTAATGCCATGCGACTGTTTCAAAGGTCCTTTCTAGGTAAGATAAAGGTTGAGGATTGAAACAGTTATAGGGCCAAAGATTTTCACGTACTGAATAGCCACACGAATCTACCGGAACTTTAACGTAGGTAAGCTGCCACATTATCTCAGCTACTACACTATCGTAAGATTCCTCAACAAGGCGTGGAATTAAAACAGCGATTTTAATCATTTCTTTAATATCCATGTACTGTATGGACTGTTTAGAACCTTTATTCATCACGTAGTCTTTGCACGGTTTAAAGCATTTCTTAAAATAGTCAAGAATTTTCTTTTCATTTTTTGATTTAATAAGTTTTTCAATTTCTTCATCATAATCATAAGCTTTATTATAATGTTTTTTCAAATTTTCTTCATCAAATATCTCTGTTACATTTGCTAGTAGCTTTTGAACGTCTTTTGGATCATCATTGTCTTTGTCTTCGACATTGTCTTTTGGATCATCATTGTCTTCGTCTTCGACATTTACTATTCTTTCGCT